CTCGGTAGCACTTTGAACGGGGGCAACGCCTACGTGGCGGCGCAAATAAAGACGCGGCTCGTACACACCAAACACTATCGCGTGCCAAACAATCTCGTTGGCCGCGAGAAATGATTTATAGCCTTGCAGTAACAATTTTGACGAGCTGCGCTCCACCAGTATTTGATGTCCCGGTCGCGGGCTCTACGAATCCTCGAGATTTACCGCTATGCGTGTCATCCGCGGCACGTTTGTGTTTCGCCCCGCTGTCGCCGACGGGGGCTCATTCATCGCTCGCGGGCGAACTATAACCCGATAACATAAATCCGACGGTCGTCGTGGATACACAAAACGCGTCCCGCGGTCGCGTCTACTACACGCTCGTCGTCTCTCGATATATAAATTCCCGCCGATACGAGCGGGATACCACGACATTTCGCGCGGGAGAGTGTTTTGCGCGCGACGTAATTACCACCACCCCCTCCCCCCCCTGTCGAATTGATTTTCCGTTCGTTCAATGGAACGATACCCCAATTGCTCGCTCACAGGACGCGGTCGTGTCAAGTACCCGCGCGTAGTCCAACACATTCACGTACACACACACACACACACACACTATCTTTCAAAGTGACTCTCCGATTGGCCGATTGGCGAAACTGCGTACGGCCGTTTGTATCAGCCGTCTCGTGAAAAGAATCGCCCCTTCGCGACGACGTGAAGGAAATTCCCGGTGGTAAGGAAACGGTCGACTCGGGTATTGAATTTTCGTTCTCGGGTCCGTCGCGCGCGCGACGCTCTCTCCGTCGTGGGTAACGACCGGTAGCGATTTTTCTCGTTTTAACACCCGAGCGAAGGGACAAGCTTCGGGAGAAAGGAGGGCTATATGTACCGTTGGATGAATGGGACGCTCGGCGCGAACGAATAGAATTTTAGAAGAACTCTCGAGCGCGAAGTGATTGTCCGATGTGTGTGTGGGGGTTCACGTGTAATTCCGAACTAGCCAGCCGGAACAAAAAAAAAAAAAAAATTAAAAAAAAAAAATGGAACGAATTTTCTATCCCGATTAATTAATAATGAACATATAAACGTTCGGTTCAACAACGAGGAACGACTATTAATCAAACCCGCTTGGATTATTTTCAACAAAATCGCGAAAAATTCTTACATCTATCTCTCAAGACGCGGAGATTTAAGTTAGCCATTAATTTGTGACGCTCGTAAACTTTTGCGACCATAAATTTTTTTTTCTTTTTTTTTTTCGAAAATTACCTCTCAGAATTGCGGAAACTCGCGGATCCACCACGAGAAAAGCGTATTGTACTCAAACTATTGATCGGTAGTGGTGCGGCGGTAGGTAGTGGCCGCCGCCGCCACCAATACCAGTAATCTCGAACCATACTTTACGCCGGCGAATGCAACCTCCGATCTCGAACCGGGAGCGGATTTTACAAATTAACAAAAAAAAAAAAAAAAGAGGAGATAGAGATAACGAAAGCGCGGAACATCGAACGGGCTGCTTTAAACTACTCGGTCGGGCGAGAATTTCGAATCTCTCTCCCTTGGTCGAGCTGTCGAGAAAATTCGCGCGGCCATTTTCAGGCTTAAGAATTTCGCCATTTTCCCCCTGTATTGTTATCGCGACTATATTTTCCCTAAATTGTTATAGCGACGGCGCGATTGAAATAAAATAATGTCACCCGCGCTACGCTCATTACCGCTCATTGCTCATTTTTTTTCTTTTTTTTTCTTTTTTTAGAAAAATAAAAAAAATTATTCGCGTGATACATCCGCATTCAGCAATTTTCGCGCAGCGTCGAACATCTCTTCTCTCATGTTTTTTGCTTCCCTTTCCTTTCTCGAAGGAGACTCTAACGAGTCTCATTCTGCCGAACTATTCTCGGGTAAAGCCCGAATTGTGTGCGCGGCCCGCGCGGGCCGCGTTTAAAATTTAAGACGGCTTAGCGTCTGCCAGGCGCGAGATTATCGGTCGAATTTAAATGGAAAGCGCGTTTAAATTTCAACGCGCCCCCGGCTCCGTATCTGGAAACTCGGACTCGTGTAAAAGAAAGTTCCGTGTGTGTTGAGATAACCATCGGCGCGTTTGAATTTGACGAAACGAAATGGTGTACGCGCGGTATATATTTCGACCGAGAGGATTTCTATCCCCCGTGTGTCGATATTCGCTCTCTTGTGAAGAGAAAAAAAGAGAGAAAGAAAAACGGACAGACAGACAGACAGAAGAGCGCATGAATTTCCGGTGGGAATGCGCGATGGGTACGGGCGAAAAGCTCTTTCGGAACGTAGTATTCACCGCACATCCGGTAACGACTTGAAAAAGTTCGGACAGCCTGCCAACTTTCTCGGTTGCGTGAAGATCGGCGTAAAGTGCCTTCTGTCTCGAATTCAAGCGCTCTCGTTAACTCGCGCGATATCACCTGTTGGCAATTTCGTCGGCGAAATCGCGTCAATCTGCGCTCGGATTGACGAAGTGATGCGCGTATAATCTTGATACCTGATGTTTTTTACGGGACGGGGGTTAGAAAAGTTGCCCTGAAGATCACACTTTTGTATCGGGCTGTTCTTGAAACTCCAGCGATGTGAACTGACATGTCCAAGGGGACGTCAGTAAAAATTGACGTTCTAAAGCGGTTCGCATCCAAAAAAAACCATATTCAGGAATAATATACGTATTATTTTCTAGTTTTTAGTCTTCAAGACTATTAAAATACAGTGTGACACGTTTGTATTAGTTTTTAGAAAATCTAACATAGAACGAGAGAAAGAGAGAGAGAGAGAGAGAGAGAGGAGAGACAGGCGCAATAAGCGCGTTGCTGCGAACTGATGCGTGCAAATGCATCGTGAAACTCTCGGCATACCGTCGCGCATGGGTTCGCTCGTGGGATAGTACCTTCTATCCGCGGTTACAATTGGAACTGAATTTGCCGTGAAATTGGATGGATCATAATGTTCGTCTCTGTTGAGAGTACGTTTGGAGAGCTTTTAATAAACGAGACGTGGAATTTTGTTTAATCTCCATTGAAGGCGAAATTCGTTAGAAATTTGCGGTTCCGACATTGCGGCGCGAGACGTATCGAAACGAATTTGCGGCGTAAACGCGAATTTCGCCCCCCCAGCATCCAAACGTAATCGGTAACCGCATGTGTTAAAGCGAGCGAGTATCGTCGCTAGGCTATATGTATATATATATACTTAAACTGTCGTCGATTCGCGCGACGACAGTTGCGAAACGTCGCGCGCACGAAATTTGTAATGAACGACCTATATAGAATTTATACCCGCGGAGAGGAAACAGAGAGAGTTTTGAATGCGCGCGCGAGAGAAGACACGCGCGCACACACACGGAAGCGACGTGATTATTGCTGGATGCGCGCGATCTGAACCACAGAAGCGGGAAAAACATATGAGAGCTTGACTCGATTTCCCAGCGAATCAAACGCGTCTTGTTTCACGCCCGCGGCCGTATTAATCCATCAGATCGTGTGCGAGCGCAATTTATCGGCGTGTCGTGACGCGCATGCAAAACCGCACACACGACGTATACGACTACTACTACGACGACGACGACGACAACAGCCGGGAGGAGCAACGGTCACGTCGTCTCCGTGATCAAAATGCGCGTCGTCGTCGTCGTCGCGCCATTGTTCCGTGGAAAGTTTCGCGATTTTGACAAAAGAAATCGAATCTCGCGGAAACGCGGTCGCGGCTCAATATATCATACGTTGAGATCCGACTTCAATCCGTCTTTCTATCTTATTCTTTCGCGTCTGCATATTCTTCTATGCTCCTCGATATATATCGTTGCCTCACGTCAACGACGAGAAGAGAAAAGAAACGAGAGAGAGAGATAGAGAGAGAGAGAGAGAGAGAGAGAGCGCACCGAGGTAACAAGTTTCACAAAGCACGCGGCGGCTTTCGCGTCTGTTCTCTCTCGTTCGATGTCACTCGAAAACGTTTCGCGAGATGCCACGGGCTTGTTATTTTTATTCCGATCGTTGTTGCGAAACATCCGCGCGCAAACTCTCGTCGCGATCGTGTTACGAACGGGGGATGTAACGGAAGGTGAATTACTAGGTATCGAGAGTGTAGTATCCGGGTTCAAACGCCGCTCTTTCTCTCTGTGCCGAACGATATCGCGCGCGCGCGCACACACAAATTTCCTCAGTGACATTAATCCTTTCGGCACAAAATTCCCCTTCACTCTCTTTCGCTATCTCTGCCGCAGGATTCCTCCTCTCCGTCCGCCAGTTGTATCAATTATCATCGCGACGTAATTTTTTTTTTTTTTTTTGTCTTTTTTTTTAATGAACCTCTCTGACGAAACGGAAACAGAAATATTCTCGTGATTTGTGCTCGTGATTTTAATAGAATAATCTAATATTCAGCGCGCATCTAGCACCGCACACAATGATACGTCGAGCGATCAAAACCCGATCGCTATAATTGACAAAATTATACTCGCGATAATTATAGAATGTAATTGAGATATGACACATAATCGAAATGCACTCTCTGTGAGGGAGGGAGGAGGATGGAGTCAAACGAAAATTACGCGCGCAAAATTAAAGATAATGACCAATCTGCGAAGGATTTCGCGCGAAATCCGAAAATCAATCGACAAACCCCTTGAAAGGGGTGAGTTTTTCCTCGAGTCACTTCTAATTGGATTTTTTTCCAAAATTATATCTCGCGTGCGAAATTATTGCGATACTCCCGAAGACACACGCACGCACGCACGCACGCACGCACGGACGCTTATCCTGATATATCAAGGCGGGGAAAATAGGGTGCGACGCACGCCGAGAGCAATTGCCGGTTTTGATACATACGCACACACTTGCGCGTTCATATAGGCACACATATATACGTGTATATATACGCACTGCACACGCTGCAGGTGAAACTAAAGCTTAACACGTCAAACGTATAATCGCGCCCCACTTTTCCCAGAGGGGGGAAAACGGGCTGTTTGAGTACGCAGTCGAGCGTACGCGGGAACGTACCCAGATAGGTGCTGTTGGTAATAACCCAGAAGAGTTTTAGCGGATCGACCATTAAACCACGTTCATCACATAAACGAGCCGGTCCGATGTGGATGACGGACCCAAAGCCAGACCACCGTTTCCGCTACGTCTGATGTATCGTTGGCGCACCGTTTCCGGATCTCTGAATCCGCGGCCGTTGGTCGGAATTGGTCGCGCGCTCGAGCACACACTTGGCACGCACGCACGCACACACACGCGAGAGAAACAGCCCGAGAGAAACGTTTATCTTCGCATCTCCGATCTCAAACTAGCTGACCGCGACTGACCGCGAATGACCGACGTTTCCACACACTGCCACCCGACGTGTACGCGTCACAATCAGGAAGAGAGGATTTCAACCAGGATCGCGAAGATTCTCAGTAAATCAAGAATTTCGCTCCTCTCTCGCGAACGATCTTTCGGAGCGCGCGCTCCTCGCGTCAACCGCTTCCAATCGCTTCTGGCGTTCCCGCCGCGATCGAGCCGCGCGCGCGCGCGCGTTATCTCGCCACGGGCCGGCACTGACTTGACATCGGCATTTTTCCTCGCGGTGTACTGGCCAGCCGCGCGTGCACACGTGCGGATACAAGGGTGGAATATACGCCGGACCGCCGCGGTTGTATGAGGGGGGGAACAAAAAAAAAAAAACCAAGTACACCTCAAGCCAGACGTGAACGAGAGGAGCGCTCGAGAGAAAACGGAACGGCGCGAGAAAGGGAAGAAGAACGTGCGGAGCGCGCGAGCGAACGAAGACTTCGTTGAAGCGAAGGAAAAGAGAGGATGGACGAGAGCGAGAAGAGGGAGAGAAGAGCGCGGCGTCGGCGTCGGCGTCGACGACAACGGCGGTGGTGGTAGTGGTGGTGGCGGCGGGACTTTCTACGCTCTCGCGAAGCAGCAAGCACAGACTCGCGCGCGGACGGACAGCTACGTGCGATATCGCACGCGGACGAAAGCAACGGGTATAACAACGGAGAGAGAGACCGGCGGCGGTCCGCGAGGGACCCAGATTTGCGCAGCCGCGCCAAATCAGTCGAGGGTGGAGGAGGAGGAGGAGGAGGAGGAGGAGGGTGGTTGCGCACAATCCACCTCTCAGTCAATATACTGTGTCACCGCGTAACACAGAACGCGGAATCGCCGGAATGCGGTCCGCGGCAATAGGTGCGCAACGTACACCTGCCGCCCGGCAGGAGCGGAGACGCGCGCGATTGCGAATTATGGACGCGTGTCGCGCGACTACGACGAGCCGCCGTGGCGGATAACATTCTGACGAGCGAAATGAAAGCGTAAAGAAGTAAATTGAGAATTTTCGAAAACAAGTGCGAGGGTGGTGTGTCATATTCGGAAAAAAAATTGAGAGAGAAAGAGAGTTGTCTCTCTCGAGAGTTGTAAAGTTTTTTTTTATATTCTTCAAAAAGGGTGAGAAACGTTGAAGAGTTTCGCAGTCGAATTTTGCAAACTCGTGCGCGCGCGCGCGCGATAACGTGTTGTTGAATATTTTTTGTCAAAAGATCGCGCACAACGCGCTCGTAAAAACGATTGTTCGTTTTATTGAAATGCTGTGATGTTTTATTAACATTTCACACACCAAGATAAAGTCACGTGAGCTCAATGCAATTCTGAATATCACTCTTTGTAACACGCTATTCCACGGGTTGTTTAGCTCGTTAATCGGGGATTGGAAATAGAACCGAATGTGCATAGCCGTGACGTAATCACTTACACATTTAATCACTTTGGCATTTCCACTGTTCGATCAAATGTCCGGACTCTGATAGACAATGAAGCTTCTATATGAATTATCTCGGAAATGATCTACGGAATTATATAAATCCTCAAACATATTCCGTAACTGCAACGGGCGATAATTAAAGCCCGTGTTTCAATGAAACACACACATTTTCGTTCAAACATTTTCACGGTAAAACAAATAATTTGTTAACCGCGAGTCATGATTTTTTTCATCAACAACGAAACGACAATAAAACAAAACGTCAATTTTGAAACACGATGAAAATCTTACGTTGTTAATTTATCTCGATGAAGAAGAAGGGTGCTGGGTGTTTTGCGTTAAGTTAAAGGTGCGAGTTGATTGTTTCCTCCCCAAACACGTTTCGACTTTATTTTTAAGTCATCCTCAGTGAGGACTTTCGAAATGACGCGAGCGCAATCACAATTTGTTTTAACAACGAAAACACACAGAAAGATACAGTCAAATGATAAGATGTTCACACAGTTAAAGAATCGTTGGGAAAAAACAATCAACTCGCGTCTTAATTTAATGCGAAACACCCAGCATCCCGTAGCCCCCTTCTTCCTCACCGATCGAGATTCGTTTCATCAACCGAACCCGATGATATTTCCCTTCCACCAATTTTATTCAATTTGTTAAATTTATCTTGTCTCTCTCGATACAAAGAAAGCAATCTTAACATCGTCGGAATTAAGATTGTTATTTTTCAAAATGTAAATTAAACGAGAAGAGACGGAGGGTTATTCTTTTCTCAAAATATCTCGCGATTCTTTATCTCAACATTCGTTCCCTTCAACAATCCACGACGCTCCGAGATCTGTATTTCGAATAATTTCGCAGGGAGGACGATCGCAGGGAGGACGAAGTAAGGGGAAGGATGCGTCGGTGCGCACGTGCTCGCGGAGTTCGCGGCCGACACACTCGGCTGAATTCCAGAATTTCAGCATTTATTCAGCGCTCTATTTCAGCGTGTCTCGCGTTAAATTCGGAGACGCGCGTCTCTCTTCCCTTCGGGGGACGGTCAGAGAGAAAATGTAAATAGACGACGCGATTTCGTAATACGTTCTTTCATATATGTATATACACTTTCAGCCGTCAAACACGGAAAGACGGAATGTCTTATTCGCATTCCGGCATGCGAAATATCGCGATACTGCATCTCCGTCAGAGAGAGAGAGAGAGAGAAAGAAAGAGAGATAGATAGATAGAGAGAGAAAAACGCTCTCTCTATTCGCCCCTTTCAAATGTCGAAGCTTCACGTTTATTGGCACACTTTCTACGAAAGCGCGAGAGAGAGAGAGAGAGAGAGAGAGAGAGAAAGAGAAAAAGAGAACAGCTTACCTCAGAAAGAAGTTCAATTGAGAAAAAGGCGGTCGTCGCTCTTGCAGCAAGTTTCGAAGTTAAATATCTTGTTAACTCTCTATTCAAAGTCCATATGAAGTTGACAGAAAAATTCTCGTGAATTCAGTCTTAAAGAAAATAAATTAAATCCAACTATCGGCCGTATTCTTTGAAGAAAATTAATTGCGTTGTTCCTTCGGAGAGAGAGAGAGAGAAAGAGAGAGCGAGAAAATACGATAGCAACGTTACCAGAGAGAGGCGTGAATGCGCGCACAATGTGGATAGTTAATAGCGCTCGTCAACAGATTATTCGAGATTACAGCGAACATCCAATACCCCAGGAACCGGCCGTTTAAATATACAGTTACATTTGCTTTGGATTAAAGCGCGGTGCGTTAAATCTCGGCCGGCTCGCTGCTGCTCCGGAGAACGCGCGGAATGCGATCCGCAAATCCGGGACATTCTACGACGACGTTGCACACAACACCGGCAAACAGCATCGGCAAAACACCGGCTGTTGCCGGCCGAGCAAAGATCCGTGGATGCAGGTTTCTATATTATATATATGGCGAATATACCGGCCTCTTCTCTCTCTTTTCCTCCTCCTCACTCTCTCTCTCTGTGTGTGTTGAGTAATTGAGCGCACGGAATACTAGAATTACGGCCCCGTCTTCTAGTTATAACGAGGATCGATGCGCGAGAGATCGGGTGGAGCTTTCAGACGGTATTATGGAAATGACGAAATAGATTAGCCCTCACCTCCCCTCTCCCTTCCTCTCCCGGGGTCTATATCTCGTGCACGTCAGCGATTCTCAACGTGAGCAACGCCGAGTAATTGCTTCCTCAAGGCTCGTAAAAATGGCCCCCTCTCTCCTCGCGATAAATCTTTGCCGCCGATCATTAAATGGCTCCAATTAACGTGAGAAGCGCTAATAAGACCGGACAGACTTGCCGCTACGTGAAGAAGTTGCGGGATGAATTGCGCTCGCGGAGGAGGACTCGCGGACGGAATTTACGGTCTGCTCTGAAATCTCTCACGGATCGATCCACGTGTATGTAACGTATACATATATATACGGCGCGTCTTGTTTAAAATACGCGCGTCTCAAAAAAGTTTTCAGCCCACGGTTGGTTGGGCTGACTTTAAACTAAGTTAAATCGCAATCGCCGAGAAGGAAGTATGTCAAGGTACTTTTTAATGAAAATCGCGACCGCATAGTTTTAATACACAAAGTACGTTCAACTTACGTTGGATTTACTTCCTCCCTTTCTCTCTCTCTCTCTCTCTCTCTCTTTTCTCCTGTATTTTTTTCCCTTGTCTTGTTTTACTTGCCGTTCGATCGACTTAATTTGTAAGCCTGTCTCTCGAACTAGTTTAACATTATAGTATAAAAAGTAAAAAATAAAACGAACTTCGTGACATCGATACCCCGGCCTAATCCTCTGTGTGCATTTGATCGGATATCGTCAGAAGTTGAGAGACACTCTGAGTGGCGATGAGTCTTGGAATTTAAAAATCTCGCATAGTCACGGCGAAAATTCGCGCGAGGAGGCGCGCATCTGTTCGAGCAACCTTCGCCTTCGGCGTCTTCTGTCGAAGAGGCGTTCCGCCGGATCTATCATCCTTCATTGAATATCGTCAAAGAATATTTCGCATTCAGCTCCGACGCTCGCTAAATCTATTCCCGAACACGACGAACGAGATCGTTCGCCGATGTTCCGACTTATATCTTCGCTAACTGGCGCGTTTCGATTCCGAACGAAACTTGATTTGTATTTGTGGAAAAAAAAACATTTTGTTATTACACGGCAGGAAAAACAATTCGCCCAAGCCTGCCGAATGTTTCGTTTTGCCGAAACAAAATCGATTTTGATTTATTAACTTAATCTCGTAAAAAGAAAACAACCAGAGAGATCCTGTGGTCCGGGTGGACGTTCAAATGCGAACATAAAACGCAGCGTATCGATCAAACGTTTCGATCGAATATTTATTGGTGATCACCTTCAGCACAGTTTAAATTTTCAATGTAAATAATAATATAATATATACAATTGAAATATAAAAAGTAAACAAAAATATGAAAAATCATCCACCTCTAACTTGGACCGCAGGCTCTCTGTTTGTTTTTTCTTCTTATAATTTGTTTCTTCGAGCCATTGTTATAATATTAATTAACTAATCTTCTTTGGCTATTCCAGCGAAACAGTTTTTGCCTTATTTGCGAAGCAACT